GGGGGAGCCTCTGCATCTCTGCCTACACCTCATCTGCTCTGTAATTAATCCTCAAAAGAGCATCATTACTTCAACCTGCTGGGCCTTGTTTTGGCTCTGCACTTCTGATTTCCGCCCGGAGGCTGGGTTGTAGGCCCACAGATGATGGACAGCAGAACAGTGCCGCTCGGAATTTCCTGCGGGGCCTCTAGAGGTATTGCTTCCATTGGCAGCTATTTCACAAATTCATCTTCATGGATTTCTTTCAATTGAGATATAATTCACAGACCATTTAAATTCATTCTTTCAAAGTGTACAACTTAGTGGTATTTCATACATTCACAGAGTTGTACAACCACCACCACTATCTAATTCCAGACCATATTCATCATCCAAAAGAAACTCCAGGGACTTCCGGTCAAGATGGCAGGTAGGTAAACGCAGAATCACCTCCTCCCACAACCACATCAAAGTTACAACTAAACTACAGAACACTCATCATTCAAAACCGCCTGACATCGAGCTGAATGGAAGTCCTACAACTACGGAATTAAAGCAGCAGCTGCATGGAGACTGGTAGGAGGGCGGAGGCGGTCGGGCCGGTCCCACACCCATGTGTGGCGGATAAAAATCAGGAGGACACCCCGTCTGGGAAGATCCTCCCTGAAGACAGAGGGGTCCCTGTCCCACACCAGGTGCCCTGCTCAGGGTTCCAGTGCCAGGAAGAAAAGTCCCCATAACTTCTGGCTGGAAAAACCAGCGGGAACTGAGGCTCAGGGAAGCTGATGCGGCTTGAGCCCCAGGCAGCTCCTTAAAGGGCCCACGCTCGGACTTATCGGACTCTCTCCCTCTAAGCATGGGGGGGAGGCAGCTCGAGGGGCACCAGAGACATACAGGGAAGAACTGAGCTGTTTGGCACTGGAGCGAGGGCTGGAGAGGCGGCCTTCTCCAGGACAGACATGCTGTCAGAGGCCTTTGTTCCTTTGGTGAGCCCTGCCCTGGGGCGACAGACAGCCACCATATCTGGGACTTCAGCAACCTGACCCACACTGGTTGCCCCACCCTGGTGATTCCCTGAGGCCCCGCCCCACCCAACTTTCAGGCCCACCCAAGCTGTTGCCAGTTGCTTAACCATAGGATTGGCCTGTCTTGGATCCTGCTTCAGGTGTTACTAAATTCTTTCAAACAAGTAGCATCTGGTCTCAGATAGCCCCATACCTCTCATTAAGTAATACACAGAAACAAACACAGATAGGCAGCCAAAATGAGGAGACAAAGAAACAGGTCCCAAATGAAAGAACAGAACAAAACTCCAGGAAAAGAACTAAGCAAAATGGAGATAAGAAACCTAACAGATACTGAGTTCAAAATACAGCTTATAAGGATGCTCAATAAACTTAGTGAGGACCTCAAGAGCATTAAAAAAGACCAGTCAGAAATGAAGGAGGCACTAACTGAAATAAAGAATAATTTACACAGATTCAATAGTAGAGTACGTAAATCCAAGAAGCAAACCATTGATTTGGAATACAAGGAAGCAAAAAACACCCAATCAGAACAGCAAAAAGAAAAAGTAATCCAAAAAAATGAGGATAGTGTAAGGAGCCTCTGGGACAACTTCAAGAGTGCCAACATTCACATCTTGGGGGTGCCAGAAGGAGAAGAGAGAGAACAAGAAGTTGAAAACCTATTTGAAACAATAATGGCAGAAAAATTCCCTAACTTGGTGAAGGAAACAGACATACAAGTCCAGGAAGCACAGAGAGTCCCAAACAAAATGAACCCCAAGAGGCCCACACCAAGACACATCATCAACAAAATGCAAAAGGTTCAAGACAAAGAGAGAATCTTAAAAGCAGCAAGAGAAAAGCAGTCAGTCACTCACAAGGCAGTTCCCATAAGATTGTCAGCTGATTTCTCAAAAGAAACTTTGCAGGCCAGAAGAGAGTGGCAAGAAATATTTAGAGTGATGAAAAGCAAGAACCTAAAACCAAGATTACTCTATCCTGCAAAGCTGTCATTTAGAATCGATGGCCATATAAAGAGTTTCCCAGACAAGAAAAAGTTAAAGGAGTTCATCACCACCAAACCATTATTATATGAAATGTTGAAGGGTCTTTTTGAAGAAAAAGATAAAATATATGAACAAACAAAATGGCAATGAATACATATCTACTGGCAATGGAATCTACAAACAAAATGAACAGGCAGAACAGAAACATTATCATAGATATAGAGAACATTTTGTTGGTTGCCAGATGGGAGGGGGGTTGGGGAAATGGGTGAAAAAGGTGAAGGATTAAGAACAAATTGTTTGCTAGACTGACAAACCTCAAAGAGAAGGGTGTTGGGGGATGGGAAGAAATAAACCAAAGAACTTATATGCATAACCAATGGACACAGACAACAGTGTGGGAAAAGGCGGGAAGGAGGTGGAAGTGGGGAGGAGGGGGTCAATGGGGGAAAAATGAGGAACATCTGTAATACATTCAACAATAAAAATAAAAATAAAAAACTCCATATTTGTTAACAATTACTCCTCATGCTCCCTTCCTCCTGACTTCTGGCAACTACTAATCTACTTTTTGTCCTTATGGATCTGCCTATTCTGGACATTTTATGTAAATTGAATCATATAAGGTGTGCTCTTTTCCAAATATGTGGTGACAGAAGATTATTTGACTTTGGGTGGTAGGTACACAATACAATATAGAGATCATGTATTATAGATATCTACACCTGAAACCTATATAATCTTATTAACCAATGTCACCCCAATAAATTTAATAATTAGATATGCTCTTTTGTGTCTGGTTTCCTTCATTAGCATAATGTTTTTGTTTGTTTGTTTGTTTATCCTCACCCGAGGACATTTTTCCATTTTTTGTTCAGATAGAGCGGGAGGGAGAGAGAGAGAGAAACATCGACGTGAAGGGACACATCGAGTGGCTGCCACCTGCACGACCAACAAGGGCCGGGGACAAACTGCAACCGAGGTACGTGCCCTTAGCGGGAACTGAACCCAGGTCTCTCTGTACTGCAGGCTGATGCTCTAACCGCTGAGCCAAACCGGCCAGGGCAGCATAATGTTTTTAAGGTTTATCCACGATGTAACATGAATCAGTACTTTATTCCTTTTTATGGCTGAATAATACTCTATCCACGTATATACAAGATCTTCATAGATTTTAATGGGAAATTAGCCTATATACTCATTAACTGAGCTATAGATCATGAGTGCTGACACTCTTGAATAGATGCTACAAAACCCCAATTCCAAGCCCCACCACACTATTCCCCCACCCAAGCGCCAGCACTGAGGGGTTCATGTGGCTTGGACAGCTCACCTTTGGTTGTCTGAAGGAGCAACATTCTGGGAAATACAGAAGTCTGCTTTGGTTGACATGGTGACAAGGATCCTGGCACCCTCTGAGCCCAGCCCCAATCCCCTGCATTTATAAGGAGCTCTCACAGGTGAACCCCTACACAGGTAGGGTCGAGATCCATGCCTTTATAATCAGGAATTCCTTTCAGTTCTCTCCAAGTTTCTCTTCCCAATAAGGAAAACCCATATCCAGCCCTGTCCTTCCCTTTCCTTCCTCCAAGTCCAGTCTCTTCTCATTCAACAAACATTTATTAGTCACCTCCTAAGTGTTAGAGTCACACTGGGATCTAAACTGAAAGGAGCTTGGTTGATGCTCTCTATATGGGTTCACAGCTGGTTGGGGAGACAGTCATGGCTACAACGAGGTGAACAAACTGAGTGCTCAGTTCTGTAAGAGGAGGGGATAAGGAAAAGCTCACACTCACCCAGAGAGGTCAGGGAAGGCTTTGCAGAGGCAGTGACATTTGAGGTGAGCCCTAAAGAAAAGCAAGTTCTCTAGGATGACATGACAGTTGGTGAAGAATATGTTCCAAGGAGAGGGGACATTAAGTATGAAGTATTGAGGCCAGAAAGAGCATAATTTGGGCTCAGCTGTGGAAAGAGTATCTGGATGAGGAGGATGAGGGGGAGTGTGGAGAGTAGGGTGCCAGATCATGAGTCTTCTAAGCCACAGTAAGGACCTTGAAATTTGCCTGAGTGCTAAGGGGAGGCCAATGAAACATTTTACTCAGAACAATGGCATGCTTTTTTAATGGGTTCAAACTCAGATCCCCACAGACATAACAAACTTGACTTTTGTTTTCTATGACTCGGCATAAATTTACAACTGGGACTGGGACTCTATGCAGTTTGGACTCACTGACTTCTCAGGCTTGTGACATAGTACATTGGATTTCAATGAAAATCTGCTTTCCCTCTAGTTGGCTTTTTGTACTAAAGAGGCTTGAAAGCTACAAACTGTAATCCCTAGATTCCCTTGCAGCTAAAATTACAGGTAGGACTTAGGTTCCACCTCTCAGATATATATGAGAGAGATTTATAAGGTAGTTGTGAGGTAGAGGCCATGCTTCTGCTGTTCCTCATCTTCCTGGGGCATTAGCAGAGGTCCAAATCCAGTGACTACTGGTTTCATGGGTAGTAAGAGGCAGGAGTGCGGTGGGAATCTTTTCTTTTCTTTTTTGCCAGCATAGACCTGAGACATGGAATAATCTAGGGCTAATAGTTGTAGTGACAGCTTCCCAACTCTCCTAAGTGTGGTCAGTGTGGTGCTCCCCAGGCTGGTCAGTGCTCTGGTAATGTCCTAGAAGTCACTCCTATAGGCCTGGCCTAGAGCTCTTCCAAAAACCTGTGTAGCACTTTGTAGTGCTTGTATCTGTGCACTTTCTGTTCAAAAGAGTGTGCTATTTCAGTGGCTGGGATTACCATGGCAGCTTCTGCTTAGGTGGGGCCTCAGTCAATTCCAGGTGAAGCCAAGGCCTCTCTGTGAGGCTGGAAAAGCATATGGTAGTCTCAGTTTCCATGAAAGGAGGCAACTTTGCCTCCCACCAAAATCCTAAGTGGGGAGAAGGCAGTCCCCAAACAAAGAAAGGCGTTCAGATGCTGGGTCGTCAAAAAGAATGACCAAGGTCTCCAAGTATCAATAAAAGGCCCTTTATTCTACATTTCCCCAAGGATAGCAATGTGACAGGGAATGGCCTTTTATCCAGGAGGGAGATGAGCACAATGATAAAATAACTAAAGCTCAGAGTTCTCTGGGAAGTGCACTGAGTTTCTCCAACCTTTGGTATCTGGCAGCCTCTCTTTTCTCCTCCTCATCAGAGACACAGCAGTGGCCAGTGTGCCAGGGCAGGGGCCTCTAGGGCAAGCCCCAGAAAGGCAGGAGCCCAGCTCAGCACGGTCTCTGCAGGAAACGCAGGCCCACATTCTTATGAGGAACCAGGACAATGCGGGCCACACTCTTCACCTCCCCTGTCTCAGGGGATAGGGCCACCTTGTACTGCTGGATCAGCTGGGAGGTAAAATGCATAAGGGGTGGTTAAAGTTCGTGATCCTCATCCACTGCCCTCCTCTGCATGCTCCCACTCTGTGCCCCCCTCCCTTTCCTCCCCAAGGCCTTTACCCCTCCCTGGCCCACACACCTCCTGCCTCTCCCCACTCACCCTTGCCAGCAGCAGCTGCATCTCCAACTCTGCAATCCTGCGGCCCAGGCAACCCCGGACCCCATAGCCAAAGGGCACAGAGCCAAAAGGGTGTTGGACCCCGAAGCTATCAGGCTCACTCTTCTTCAGCCAGCGATGGGGCTGGAAGCTTTCCGGCTCAGGGAAGATGCTAGGGTCCCGGGACACCACATAGTGGCAGAGCACAAACTGGGTCTTCGGAGGAAGAATGGGCAGCACATCAGCTTAAGGCTGTGGGGCACCCCTGGGGACCCCAGCTCTCTAGCCCCACTCACGTTCTTGGGGAAGAGGAAACCACCAACTTCAATTTCTTTTTCCATGATTACTCGGGAATTTATAGGGACCACAGGGTAGAGACTGCAGGGAAAAGAAAACGCAGGCCTGCTTCTGGAACCAAGAAGGAACAGAGTGCCCACCCCTTTAACCCCACCTTTCTGGTCCCCCAGGCCCTTCCTCCCATCTCACCCCTGGCCCTAACCTCAGCCCACCAGCCCGCACTTCCCACTCCTGTCAGTGAGTCAGCCCACACACGCAGACCCTGTGCTCCTGGGACAGCAGCTTACCGCAGTGTCTCCTTAAGCACAGCTTTGAGTAGAGGCATGTGGGCAAAGTCCTTGTGCTGGGGCACCTGCCCAACTGGCACCACACCCACCACCTCCTCATGCAAGGCCGCCTGGATTTCTGGGCTCTTTGAAAGATGGTACAGGGCCCACGTCAGCGTGTTGGATGTCTGGGAAAGAGTGAGAGATGAAGGAGCCAGTTAGGTCGTGGGAGGGTGTGTAAGTGGGTGCGTTCAAAATGCAGAAGAAAAACTAATTTGTCATGAGTATGGCAGAACGAGACAGGCGTTCATGGGACCCTCCATGCTAAGCGTGACTCCACAACGAGAGGAGGACCAGTGAGGGAGGACTGCACTCTACCAGAAAAGGCTGTAACGTGGAGAACCCAACGCGACGAAAAGATGAAAAGAGGCCCTACAAAGAAGTTGCCTGTGGACAAGGTCTTCAACTCTCCTTAAATTACAGCATTAGAGAGTTGAATTAGATGTGAGATGAAACTTCCCAGCTGTCAGTGAGGCGCCAGGAGGTGATGGAGTCTGTCTTACAAAGGGACAATTCTCTGCCCACCTCTGCTGGGCTGAACGACCCCCCACACACACACACACACCCCTATTTTCCTTCTAGTTCTGCATCCATGTCACAGAAAGAGCAGCAGGTACCTGGGGGAATGAAGACCAGGGTCGGGGGGGATAACGGGAGATCGGATCAGGATGGGAGCCCTTGATCTCACTGGCCCCCTCACGCACCGTGTCTACTCCAGCCATGAGGAGCTCGGGGAGGCTGCCCATGGCCTCACGAGGACTGAGCTGTCCGCTGGTCAGCAGGAAGTGCAGGTAGCCAGATATCTGGACCCCATTTGGCCCTCCTGTCTGTAGTTGGGTCTCTATCTCCTTGAGTTTCTGATCCATCAGTTTCTTCCCTACAGGGACAATGGACCACAGGGGAGGACAAGGTTAAAAGTCATGATTTCCAAGGACTAAGAGCCACTCTGACAGCTGGTAGCATGAGGGAGAAGGTCCTGGGAGAGAGACTGCTAATGCACAGTCCCTGGGACCCGCCCCCCAACTTCATTTCCTGGGTTCCTCACCAAAAGAGAAGATGGTGTTCCAGCCATCCAGGTATCGCTTCCAGAAGGGGAACAGGGGACGGGTCCACTTAGGGAGGAAGGTGGCATAGAGCGAGTTCTGGAACATGAGCCCGACAGAGCTGACGAAGGCCACAGTGTCCTGCGGGATGGAGCGCTCCAGGCAGCCAATACGTTTCTCAAACAGGATGTAGCAAATAGCTGGCAGTGCACAGAGGCCATCACAAGAGGCAGTGCCACGGCACAGGACCCAGGGAACTCTGAAGAGGGTAACACAACCTACCCCTGACCCATGCCCACCCAGCCCCTCTCCCAACAAAGGTACCTTCCAAGGCAAAGTAGTAGAAAAGTTGAGCCATGTCGGGCACCTGATCCCCAGAGTCACTCTCTGCCATAATCTCGTTCAGGCGAACCATGAAGCTGTCAACCACCTCATTCAGAGCATTCGTGTAGAGAGCAGCCTCAGCTGGCTTCAGAATCCGCTGGTTCAGAACCTGGCGCAGCTGGTACCAGTGATGCCCTTGCCTGCAGGGAACAGAGGAGCAACATAAGTGTAAGTATCTAATGGGGGTTAGATTACAGGGCATCTTCCCACCCTGAGGCCCCTAAAGAGTCTAGGAAAATCTCATTTTGAGATTGAAAATGATAGACTCACCAAGCTTTCAAATGATAAAATCTTTGAATCACTAAACTTTAGAATCTCACTACAGCAGAGTGGAAGTGGTTAAGGTGGGCATCTAGAATCAGATTGCCTAGGTAGGGGCAAATCACAGGTTTAATGATTACTGGTTGAGTGACCTTAGGTAGGCAGAACTGAATTCCTCTGAGCCTCAGTTTCCCCTTCTGTAAAATGGGAATAATAAGAGCGCCTATCATATTAGGGTTGTTCAGGTAATTAACGTGCTTAATCAGTGCCTGGCACATGGCGAATGCTTACTGATTACCATGATTATCTTAGAATTACACAACTTCAGAAACTTCTGTATGTGAAATGAGGAGGCGCTGCAGTGAATCAGTCCCTCTGTGTGGAAGATGAGGAATAGAGGATGAGACAACTAGGGTTCATGGGGTGTTCGGATCCTGGACCTTCATGCTCTTCTTAGCTCAACAGGCCAACAGGCCAGGGAGCCCCACTAGGCTGATGCACCAATCCCTCTTGCCACAGCCATCCAGCAGGTAGTTTGGTCCCCACTCTGGTTAGAAAGGGATGCTCATGTTGTTAGGTGCATGCTTCCAACGGGGGAGCTTAATGTTTAGGGGCTGCCCCACCCTCACCTTTCCTAAGCAAGCTGGGACGAGGTAAATTTTTATAAGCCAGTTGCAGAACAGTAAGTACAATATGGTCCAATTTTAAGAGGAAGAGAGAAAACTCTACATATCCACATGTATATTTGCATGTTTCTACATAAAATAAGGAAGAATACCCACCAAACTGTCAGGATTACTTAGGAGGATGGGATGGGGGTAAGAGGTGGAAAGACAATGTTACATTATTGGAACTTTTACAGTAGTATTACTCTTGAATTTTAAAAACCAATAAGGTATTTTAAAAAGAAAAACATGAAAGTCTTAAGTCAAGAATCAGACTTTTTATTTTAAAAAAATTATTTATTTAGTCCGGCTGGTGTGGCTCAGTGGTTCAGCGTCGACCCATGCACCAAGAGGTCGCCAGTTCGATTCCCGGTCAGGACACATGCCCAGGTTGTGGGCCAAATCCCCAGTGGGGAGCATGTAGGAGGCGGCCATCGATGTTTCTCTCTCTCTCTCCTTCTCAATTCCTCTCTCTCTAAAATCAATAAGGGCAAAATTTTTTTTTAAATTATTTATTTAAAAGAAACTCAAACCCCAGGAGTTTTCTTTATTATATTGGGCAAAACCTGAAAAAATACAAACAAAAAGTGTTTCTTAGAAAGAAATGAAAACCAGAATAGACCCACTTACTGAAACTTCAGGTTGTAGGTGCTTCTCCAAGAGTAAAACTCTCTAACAGTGGGGATCAGATTTGTGGAGATCAAATGAGAGCATTTCTGTGGTTGATAAAAAATTTCTTGAGGAAACAATGCTTCATAAAGTGAGATTTTAAAATATATATGTTAAGCCTTGACTGGTTTTTCTCAGTGGTTAGAGCATCAGCCTGTGAACCAAAGGGTCACAGGTTTGATTCCTGGTCAAGGGCACATACCTGGGTTGCAGGTTTGATTCCCAGCCCTGGTCAGGGTCATGTGGAAGGCAACTTATCGATGTGTCTCTCTCACATCTCTCTCTCTCTCTCTCTCTCTCTCTCTCTCTCTCTCTCTCTCTCTCCCCCTTTCTCCCTTCTGGCCTCCCTCCCTCCCACTCTATTTAAAAATCAATGGAAAAATATCCTTGAGTGAGGCTAAAAATATGTGTGTGTGTGTGTGTGTGTGTGTGTGTGTGTTAAAACAAAACACCCTTATTATCATAAGTTAGCAAAATAGCCTTTAAATATATATAGAGAGAGTAAAAAAGTATAAACCAATGACAAAGGGGTATATATAATGTTCAGTTTTGGTCTAACTCTGAGCCTTGAAGTCCGGAGGTGGCCTGCCTTGGCGAGAGCCTGAGGCCCACATCTTGCCCTTAGGGTCGGACATCAGTTAAAGAGCCCTTGAAGAACAGACATTCTCTATTCTCTTCCCAGAACTTTGAATAAAGGGTCCAGGAACTGTTAAGTTCTGAAACTACCCATCTGTGAAGGAACCAGGACAAAGACAGACAACCATGTAATGGGAGAACGGTGTAAAGGCATCAAAGACAGAGGAAACAAACCCTCCAGCCACTGGTTCCCTCTCCCACAGTGCCACGTTCTAGAGTTCCAGCCTCAGAGACCTTCTCCACCACCTAGTTGTGTCACCACTGGCAAGAGATGCAAAAAGTTCTCTAGTCCTCAGTTTCTTCATCTGTACAATGGGAATAAACGTCTTTTCCCTGGGCATGTTGTGAGGATAATATTCAATAATAAATGTAAAAAGACTAGCCTGATGCCTGTCATGTCATAAACACATAGTTACTGTCATTTTGCTGCTGCCACCACCAGGATTGACTTTAGTCCCTTAAGAAATGACTAAAACGTGGAAGCCAAACAACTAGGGAAAATGAAAAGCCATTCATTGTTTTTGGAGCTCTGTTAACATACTATAGCCAATAAAATAAATAAATAAATTGTAATATATCCAATTACAGCCTGTGGCATTGGGAATGATTTATCACTAGTGATTCTCAATTAATTTACCTCAGTTGGCATATGAGTATATAACAGACTCAGCCCATCCTTCAATATGTCACTGCCAAAATAATCTGAACTTTTCTAGGTATAACTTCAAGACTAGAACATACATCTGGCTCTGTGTATGGACAGCATCCATGAAAATGATATCTAACAAGAAGCATACAATACATAATTTGGGAAATATTTTTTAAATTATATTGAGCCCTCCCAACTAATATGGTAATGATGTTTTTACAACTATAAACAGATATGTCCCATTATGATTTGAGTTAGTATATTTTCAACCATAATATAGAATAATGGAGCTGGTAAGGTCCTAGAGTTACCTTGGAGATACTCTAGTCCAAATTTCCCATTTTACATATGAGAAATGTAAGGCCAAGGAAGGAAAAATTATTCATTTGTCCAAAGTCATACAATATACTAGTGGAACAGTCAATGAATGGTCCCTGGGCTTTAGTCCATCCCAGCCACTGCTTTCTACACTGAATATCACATTCAGAAGATGCAGGGAGATCCTACGATGCCCATATCTACCGGTTGCCCAGTGCCACTGCCCTTGGGCCAGAACCTCTGGGGCTCTGTTCCAGTCCCTTCGGGCCCCAGCTCACGTGGTAAAGGGCCCATACGGCAGGCCCTGAAGGTCCCGGTGCTCCTTCCATAGATCCATGTCATTCCGTACTGGGTACTTGCCCTCTTGCCGCATCACTTGCTCCAGGAGTGGGGCACTGGCCAGGTTCACATGGGTCTGAGGTCCTACACGAGATATCCACATTGGACCATACTTGGCCTTGCACAGCACCTGTGGGGTTCAACCAAAGCTGAATAACAAAGCTCAACCAGGCAGGCACTTCATGGAGAGAAGATGGGATGGGGGAGTATCTGGTAGCCACACCACAGCAAGTGGGCTACGCAAAATCACATTAGGTGGGAGGTAGGCACTGGGATGGCCTGTAGTTCCAGAAGGAGAACACTGGAAACAATGAGCACACAGGAGTTGTAATACTGAGAGCAATCACTAACTAGAGGAACTGAGGTCCTTAGAGGAACAAAATGTGGGGAAAATGGAGTATGTGATGAACTGAGGTACACTGAGGTATAGATATTTGGGGTTTGGGGTTTTAGAGAAATTGAGCCCTTTGATGAGGTATAGTAGAATGCCTATGGCTCCTCCATAGAAGTATTTAAATCTACTGCAGCTTGCGGTCAACAGGATAAAGATAAATATGTAATCAATAAGAAAAAGAAACACAATTACAAACTCCAGGATAAACAAAAAGCTGAATGAGAAAGAATCCAAATATGAAGTATACTATGAGGTGTAACAAATTATTTTAATAAAAAAATTACTAGCTGTGTTAAGTAATATAATTCTCAAATACTTTATCTTAGAATTTCTAAAGCACTTGACAATACCCATAGCATCTATGAAATGGACATTTCTATGATGTCTTTATACCTGCTGAAAAACGAGGGAGAAAATAAATGTCTTTTGGTTTAGGGAGGGCAAAATTTTTATTTATTTATTTTTTATCCTCACCTGAGGACATTTTTTGATAGTTTGTTCAGATAGAGTGGGAGGAAGAGAGAGAGAGAGAAACATCAATGTGAAAGGGACGCATCGAGTGGCTGCCACCCACACGACCCAACCAGGGCTGGGGACAAACTGCAACCAAGGTACGCGCCCTTAGCGGGAACCGAACCCGGGTCTCTCCAGACCGCAGGCCAATGCTCTAACCGCTGAGCCAAACTGGCCAGGGCGGGAGGGCAAAATTTTTAAACAAACCACAAATAAATTTACTGACTAATTTACACTTATACACTGAAAGCAAATGAAACAGTGGTTTCCCAGGTACTTCATTTTTCACAGTCTGTTACTAAAGAGATTTTAAGAGAATCAGAATCTGCTCCACTCTAGAAATTAGGCCAAAGGGTTTCTGTAAAAGAGACATCAAAATCATAGACATCTATCATTCAAATTATAGAAGGCACTTCACCTAACTCACAGTCTAGAAATACGCCAGTCTTATTGGGTCTTACTATTGGCAATAAAAACTGGATTCTCTTAGGATCAATGCAACATGATTCCCCTCAATATATTATCCAGTTGCTCAGAATCCACCCTGAACTAACAGTCCATTCTGCCAGTTCCCAGAAAGGCAGCTTTGACAAGCCCCCAACATCTATTTAGGCTTCTTTTCACTTCTACCTCCCAGCAATGCCTGCCAGTGTGGTATGGTTTTGAACGGAGATTCTTGAAGAGAATCAGGCATATTCATACATTACTGGTGAGAATCTAAAATGACATAGCCCTACATGGAGGACAATTTGTTAATATCTCTAAAAATTACAAACACATTTATAAACAAAGTATGGAACATCTACATAATTGAATACTATATCACCTTAAAAGAGAATAAAGCAGCTCCTTGTGCACTAATATGGAAAGACAGACAACCAAGATAGATTGTTAAATGGAAAAACATGCTATCTTTTGTCTAAGAAAGAGAGGCTAAATAAGAATGCACAACATTTGCATTTGCTTTTACAGAGAAACATTAGATCGATACATCAGAAACTAGTTAAAGTGATTACCTGTGGGAGGGTGGAGGAGACAGTGGGAGTAAGACTGTACCATGTAGATCTTGTTTTATTGTTTTGAGTTTTGAAATATGAGAACGCATTCAAATTTTTTAAATCTAAAGGAGGAAAAAAAGAAAGTGTTTTCTGAAACAAAAAGTCACCCACCATTGATCAGGTAATTCAAGAAAACAGGAAAGCTTTGCTGAATCTCTGAATTCATGTATACACTCCTTAGACTTAGAAGTGGGCCTTAGATATTCATTTTGTTTATTTTTCTTAAAGCGTCCATTTAAAAAAAAATACTTTTCTTATATATCTATTTTTGTTGATTAAATTCCATAGGAGATTTATCGTAAACAAAAGCTTAATTTGTGTTTTCTGTTTGGTTTAAGATATTAATAACTTAATGTTATTAGTGATAAGAATAATAGCAAATATTTCATGGAGTGTAGCATAAACTGGACACTATCCTAAGCATTTTATTTATAGTAGCTCATTCAGTCCTTACGACAGCTGTGTGATGTAGGTTTCACAGGACCAGTCTTATAGATGAGAAAATGAAGGCCCAAAGAGGTTGCTCAAAGTCACTTGACTGGTGAGTCAGAGTCAAACTCAGATCATCAGACTGGAGGCCATGCCCTCAACCACTCACTCCGCTGATCACTGAGAAAACTAACGAGAAGCAAACTCAGGCCCTTTAAAACTACATGCTGTTCAAAGCACCACAACCACGCCATATCACCCAGGGTTTCTCCCAGCACTGTTGACATCTGTGGCTGAAAAATTCCTTGTTGTGGGAACTGTCCTGTGCACTGTAGGATGTTTAGCAGCCTTCTCTGGTCTTTACCCACTAGCACCTTCCCAGGTTATGACAACCAAAAATGTCTCTAGATATTGCCAAAACGTCCCCAGAGGGGTAAAATCACCCCAGGTTGAGAACCTCTGCAATAACCCCAATCTCTTAATATGTCTCTTAATTATTTAATTTTAGAGGACTCGTTTTAAGAAATAATATCTCATTTTGAAAAAAATATTTATCTGAAGTTTGGTTTCTTTTCCTTCTGTTAAGTTCAAGTAAAATTACATGTCACATTTTTATAAAAATGCAAGCAAATTTTATGTCTGAGTCACAGTTTATAGGCAGTTTACTTTCTTCTTTATGCCCAGATTTGTTTTTCAAAATTTCTACCGTGTGATTTTGGAATAAGGTGGGGGGGGTGTCATGTTTGAAAAGACTAGACCAATAACCATTTACTCGGGTACCAGCTTCTCCCCTGGAGTCCAAAGACTCTGCCCCTACTTTCCAGCTATCATTTAGGGGGTTTTGGGGACATTTCTCCCTTGACCAAGCCCGACTTTCTTCCCTTTACTTTCATATTCTTCTCAGTTAGATTACCCAGTGGAACTTAATGAGGATCTATTTATGTAAGAACCTATTTTAGAAAGACACCAGAATACTTGCTGAGAGATGTGTGCTGTGTCTGTGTGCCAACCATTAGGGCCGTAACCTGAGCCCGTTAGAAAGTCCCAAGGGTTCTCAGATAGGTCCTAAGTACCATTTGGCAGAACCGAACCTCCTAGGGATCCTCTCCAAGATGCATGGCAGGGCTGGCCTCTGCTAGGTGACATTCCACAGAGGGAAAGTATTGAATTCATTCATTAAAACAAAAGTGTTTACTGATATAGAAAGATATTCATATTTATTTTTTAGTAAGTGACAAATAACAAAAGAGAATATATGGTATGCTTTCATTTTATTTATTTTTTAAAATATATTTTTATTGATTTTTTTAGAGAGAGAGGAAGGGAGAGAGAGATAGAAACATCGATGTGTCTCACATCATTGGCTGCCTCCTGCATGGCCCCTTCTGGGGATCAAGCTCACAACTCAGGCATGTGCCCTGACCGGGAATCGAACAAGGACCTCTCAGTCCATGGGACGACGCTCAATCCACTGGGCCACACTGGCTGGACATGGTATGCTTTCATTTTAGAAAACATGAATATGTAGGTGACACATGGGAGAAAGTGTGGAAGCTTATTCACCAAGGACAAGCAAGCAGGGACAACGCTTACTTACTCCCAGGATCATGTGTGTATTTACGGATTCATTTCACAAATGCTTATTAAGCACCTATGTGTACAAGACACTCTGACATGTACAGGGTGTTAGGATTATAGAAGATTTAGATTTTCTTCTTTTTGTGTCCTTTTATTTTTCTGATTTCTCGATTTCTGCAAATAATTCCAACTAATTCAAAATGACACTCTCTGTTAAATGTGGTATGTAACCACAAATAATTAGCATGTAACTCATATTTATGTGACTTTTTTTTTTAAAGGGGGTCATTTTTATAGGAAAAAAGTGCCTGTCCCATTGTCATGCGTTTTCAGCTCAGCTCAGCCATCCACATATCAGCTGAGGAGTCAGGGACTACTTGGCAGTAGATTTTGTTCTAGCTTCAGTCCCAACACTAACAGCCTTTGTCACTCTGTTGGGTAATAGCTTCACCATGGCACCCTCCCTACCTTGTGTCCATATACACAAAGGCTTGAACCCAGCCTTCTCTGAGTCTTCAGGCTGAACGCCCGCCCTATAATCCTCCAAGAAGGCAGAGGACTGGATGCCAGCAAGGAGCTGCCTTCAGGCCACCTGGCACTTAACTCCCTGTGTCCCCTAGGAGGCTGTCATGAAACAGTTTCTCATGTTCTGTGGGTTCTGCCTTACACCCCTCAGAAAAGAGGGTGTCTTCTCAACAACGGGTACATACCTTGCATCGCAGTCATCTGGCCTCTTTTGTTTCAGGGTTGTCCTTTTGTGTGTGGGGGACAATGGTCTTCGAGAACTGGGACCTTTGGTTCATTCTTCTTTTCACTCTCTGTGTAAGCAATGAACTGTCTAAATCTAAACAGGCACCATTGTATCTTTTCTGGAAGAATCCGTTAGGGCCTTGGCCTTGCCTTGTCCAGTGTGGGAACTAGACAAGTTTGGTGCCCAACGCGGAGCTGGTAAAGTTACAATGCTCTTTTAGGACCCAGTCAAGTAGGAGATAAATGGATTTCTGGGATCTAGTAGCACGTGGTGTGGCTACATGTATGTGTGGGTGGGGAGGAAGTGGTAGGGGGAGGATATTCCCACTAGAGGATGTACAGTTCCGGTTAGGACAAATCAGACTAGCAGTGCAGAGGAGTGGGGATCTTCCCACAGTCTCATCTACG